TAGCACATGTATACACATGTACTACATCATAGCTAGCACATGTATATGAGTTGTATAGTAGGTGTAATACAAGTTGTGTAGCACATGTATACACATGTACTACATCATAGCTAGCACATGTATATGAGTTGTATAGTAGGTGTAATTAGGTGTATGGCAACTAATAGATTAGGTGAATTAGTATTATAAATAGGCCTTGTAATCTTCTCTTCTAGATATGAAATATAGAACTTCTTTGGTTTCTAACAACTTACAACCCGCAAATCTATTCATACATTGGAAACATGAACTGCAGACTAAATGGGTAGGTAAAGTTTCGTGAAAAATTAACTTCATGCCATCCAGAGTGCATCAATCTCTCTGACTTCTTTCAGAAATATAGCACCTCATAAAAAACATCAGTACAAGCGTGCTTGAAATTCCTACAGGTTACATCAGCCTGAATATACTTTCACATACCGATATTAAGTTAACTCCTTCTAAAGTTTATATTTATCACAAATCACAATCAACATGTCTTAGTGTTTATTCACTCATTTGATTTATGGCTTCAAATACCCTGTAGTTGCACATTTAGCTGGTTAATCGATTTCGTTTCGTTAATCTAGTATCATCTGTATCAGCATTATAAACATGTAATTTGTGATTTATGACTAACAATAAACATTTGAGCAAAAATTGCATTAACGGGAGTGAATTTCGAAACGACTAATATTAGAATTGTAACTAGCAACTGCAAAAAAAAAAAAAAAAAAAAAAAAAAAAACTATATCAGTTAAAATTAACCAATCGATCATTCAACTTTTGAATATGTAAAATCGGAAAGAGTAGGGTTTAGAGGGACAAAAAATTCACCTTGGTTTTAGTCTCGATTTTTACATCGAGAGAACTAATCCTGGTGGAGAGTATTCCAGAGAGGCATTCGCCGGCGAAAGGATTGAAAAAGTTAAGCCCCGGTTCTGCGAGCCTGTCGAAACGTCCCCATTTCTCAACCACACCGACACTCGCTTGTTCTATGCATCCACAGAATACACAGTTAGCATTCCCCATCGCTTCGTATTGCCAATTAGGGTTTTGAGTAAATTTGATGTTGGTGATGACTGATGAATTCAGGATTAGCGCGTTTTTGGATTGCCTCTTACAGACGAAGACCGCCTTGGCGGGTTTTTACTTCTTTTCTTTTTAATTTTAATTACCGAGTAGATATTTGTTAGCAATAAATTTAAGGAAGAAGCGGTCACAAACTTCTTCGCAAGAAAGATCTTTAAAAAAGGGTTTTTGCTTTTAGTCCCTTAAGTATTAACATTTGTTTCTTCTGTTTGTAAGCTTTTAAAAATTTAAAACAAATTATTAATTGCTTAAACTATTTAACTATTTAGGTGTTATATCATAAGTATTTGTTACAGTTACTTCATATTTGAGAGCGATATTATTCTGAAAATGATGTAAATATAGTGCATTTTGTATGCAAAATGACCAAAATGCACATTTTTAATATTAAAGGTTATAATATATGTTTAGTGAAATATCATATGGACCAAAATTAAAATTAACCAATAATCAAGGGATTAAAAGTGTAATTTTTCCTTTTTAAATTTTTTAGATTTTTTTAAAGATATCAAATGTATGCGAGAAAATATTTCTCTTTTTCTTTTACGTTGCTAACTTATGATTTTTTAAGAAAATAATTTTTTTCAGACTGTCATAAAATAAATGAAGTATTAGTGTATAGTATTTACAAATGATTTTATCTTGTAAATATAGATAAAGTTTTATTTCTTAGTAAAGGATTGTCTTTTGTTTTTATTAGAGACGGGGTTCAAATTGTCTCTAAAAGTTTTGTCTTAGCTTGTTAAAGTATAGAGTTTTAATGTATATTTAGGACATTAATAGTATTTGATAGTAAATTACTTCGATATTACAATTTGTTTTAACCCCTTCTTAATCATCATATGAAAAATTGAAAGACTTGATCCAATATTGATAATGTACCTTTTTAATTTTCTCTTTTAGTACGCTGAAGCTTTCTCAAACAACGAAAAAAATCTTCCCCCAAGGCCGCTTTTTGCGTCGATGAATGAAAAGTTTTTTAGTGAAGGGATGGATACACATGTATATTATCTCTATGCACTTTGAGTAAATAAACTTTATAATAGTGTCTTGTAACAACAAGTAGTTTATTATAAGTTGAATTAGGTAATGATCATTTATTACGTAGCTCTTTCTTCTCTATATTCATAGAGATGGAGAACATTCCTAAAAGTCACTAACCAGCACCAAGGAAGGTGAATATGCTAATGGTTGGAATGTACATTATTAAAATTAAATCAAATTAATTATATCGGTTTGGATTGGTTCGTTTTGTGGTTTTTCAAATTTTTTTATTTTTTTGTTATACAAATATTATTTCAATCTTACTGTTTCAAAGTTATAGAAAGTTTGATAAGTAAATATATATTTAGTACTTAGTAAAAATTGAAAAAATTGACAAAACACATAATCTATTAAAAAATTCTTGTGGACACATGATAGTTATTTTCTTAGTCGTCTAACAATAATTTTTCGTTGATGATGCCTTTAAAGTTAACCGAATTTAATAATTAAACTTAAAAATCAATATGACACCTAAATAATAATATATTCTCTAAAATACCATTTCAAATAACACTTGATAAGAAAGAGATACAACTCATTATTTAAAGTAATTAAAAATGAACGCACTTCATAGTTCTATTAAATATTACATCTAACGAGAGGATTTAAAATATTTTTAGATATTTTAAAAAAAAATCTATATAAAGTCTTAAAAGTATATATAAAAATTATATATTTATATATCGGTTTGATTTGAATTTTTTTTAACTCAATACCAAATCAAACCTTATCGGATTTTTAATCGATTTAATGCGATTTTCTAGTTCAAACTTAAATACCCCTACTGATGATCCTGCTTTAAGTGGCCCTTGATTGTACAAGACAGTACACTCATGTTGCTCCATTCCCACACGAAATCTGTGGCCCTTGTAGTACAGGAGAGACGTTTGTGAATAAAGCCAACTAAGGCCATGGCTCGAATTCTCTTATTGACGAGTAGACATATATATANAAAAAAAAAAGAAATTCTGCCTCATAGAAGTGCTCACAATGTTATTCAAATATTAACTATACGTTTGCACAAGAGACATAAGTACCAATAGAATATTATAGTGTCCATATTTTCCTTCATAACAAATGATCGGATATTTTTAAGTACAAGATTTACATGAGTAAACTCTTAATAATTTTAAAGTTTTTGGATTTATTACATAGTTTAAATAAAAATATATATAATAATATAGTTTTAAACTCCTAAACCTAGATTTGTACAAAGTAAATTCTTAATGTTTTCAAAGTTCTAAATCGTAGGACTTTCTACATAGTTCAAGTAAGAAAAATTTAATATGTAAAATTTTAATTACTTTGAAACTCCTAAATATTAGAAAATTAATTAAATGAATATTCAACAAAGTATTTTTTATGGTAATTTACCCATATTTAAAGGGATTGCAGATTTTTTATTTATTTATAAAGATTAAGTTTGGATGAGATAAAAAGCCCCGAGATTTAAGTTGTATTTTTCCATTCGACGTAAACATTGGTAATGTAAAATTGAAACTATAGTACGTAGAGTATCTCTTGTTAATGAAAGGAGAGGGAAGAAAAAATGTGGTAGAAGTATATTTAATTTTTTCTTTCTTTTTAATTTATACTAGTATTAGTACCCACGCGATGCGCGGACACAAATCATGTCAAATTGTGATGTAAGTTGTTTGAATCATGTGCGAATAACCTTAAAATATAAACCTCTCAGATAAAAATTATATAACATTAGATATTAATTATAAAGTAGGATATGAAATTATTGTTCCAGTCTCGTAGTAGACAACCTATTTTTTTTAAATATTTGTAGTAACCTAACCCCTTAATTTTAGTACTTGCATTTCGTTTCGCTATCAATATTAAAGAATAATAAACATGTCATGTTTTGATCTGTCTTCTTTAAGAACATTAGATAATATTATTTTAACAAAATTCTTACTATCACGTTGTTTTTATCTGAAAGTCAAATATATCTTATTTATCACATTATTTTTACGCAAATTATTTTTTATTTTTGTTCTTTACTTATAGTTATTGTATTATTTATTATTTAATATTATTATACTATCATATAATTTTTTATTAGCTTAATAATTAAATTAATTTCTTGCTTATTAGTCTTTTAATAATCTTTAGAAAATACAAATATTTTATTCTTGAAATTTGGTATATTTTTATGCTTGTAACCTCTTATTCAGAATTTTATAATCATTTAAATTATCAGTAATATTTTAAAATATAATTAATTATTTAATTTATTTATTTTTAAATTAATTTAAAGTATAAGTATCCTCACACTACCTCTATTGTTTTTATACATCTCTTCCCTACTATAAACTTTAGTTAGTTTTTATATTAATATTTTGCCTATAACCAAAATAATATCATATTTTATTTTAAATAGTAACTTTGAATTAGTATTAAAAATTAATACATAAGTTATTTGATTATTATGCTCCAAATGTATTGAGTTCTCTTATAATTATTTTTGTATTAGATGTAGTTAAATTTTCTTTCTTTTATAGCTTTAATATACAAATTTAATTTTAATATTTATTAGTAAAATTACCTATATTAGAAATTTATTTTGTATTTTTAAAATTTTATTTTTATCATAAAAAATATTTCTTAATTATTTGAACACATTATATCTGAATATTGTAGTAATATTTTCACTGTCATATTATTTCTTTATGTAATTTTTCTTTGTTTTTTAGTTTTAATATGCAAATTTAATTTTTAATTTTTATTAGTAAAATTACCTATATTAGAAATTTATTTGGTATTCTTCAGTTTTTATTTTTTATTATTTTTCATAAATAAGACTTTAATTTCGTGGTATTATCCATAGTTTGAGCTTTCTTATCATAGTTTTAAGAGCTTTCTAATCTCAAATTCAAATAGTCTGTCCCTTTCATTTATAATAGTAAATTTCTAATAATTTAACGTAATTTTGCTATTTTTTAAATCTAATATATAGTCTTATTACGTTTTATGTGGCTTTCCATTAACTTGTAACGTTATCTAATATCTTTATCAACTACTATTCTTAATATAATATAGATAAATATATAATTTTTAATCACAAATAAATATTTATTTTGTTTTAAAAATATTTCTTGAAAATTTTAAATTATTAAATTTTAATAATATTTTTAAGTATTGTATATTTACCTTATTTTATTTTCTAAACATATAATCTATAAATATCCTCACATTATCTCTAATTTATTTTTATTATTCAATATTTTTGGTTTTTAATTTTATTTATTAGACTTGAGTTAATTGGACTTATCCATATTATGACTTTTCTTATCACAATATAAAAAAAAAATTCATCTCAAATTTAAATTAGTTCTACCCTTTTTCTCTATGATAAAGAATCTGAATTTTTATTTTTTTCTCTATTTATTATTTATTTTTTATGTTATATTATTTAGTTCCTAATATTATTACATTGTCATGTGGAATTTTTTAACTTTCTTGAATTTAATATCTATTTCTATCACACCCATTCTAATATAATATAGATAAAAATTAAATAAATTTCTCATATTGTCACGACCCAGATTTTTTTCACCCTCGGGAGTCGTGATGACGCCTACTCGTAGAAGCTAGGCAAGCCAGAAAAATTTAGAAATCTTTAACTACTTTACTTTAAGCCTTTTTAACAACTTGCATTAACAGGTGATAAACATCTAAATGACAGCGGAATATGAGATTTAAGCGGAAGTCTTACATAAATATAAAACCAAAATGTTTCGAAAGTCAACACATGCCTCTACCCAGAAACTGGTGTCACAATATCCACGGACTACTAAGAGTACTACATACAACAGTTTGAAGGAAAAATAATACTATTTGTCTCGGACACATGAGATAACAGAACATAATAAAAGATAGAGGAGACGCCGGGCCTGCGGACGCCTGTAAGGCTACCTCGGTGTCTCGGTGGACTAAAGGCTGGCTCCCCTACTGCTGCTGATCAAGTGCCGCTCCGGTATCTGCACAGAGTGCAGAGTGTAGTATCAGCACAACCGACCCCATGTGCTGGTAAGTGTCTGGCCTAACC